GCATATAGATCCAACGAGGTTTGACTGTTTGACGTGCTACAGAAAGGGTGTGAACACATGGGTGTAGCAGGGATGCGTCGACAGGGCATTGGGATGTCATCGGGCTTAATTCTGCACCGCACCGCGCACATGTCAAATGAGCGGGCCGCGTGGCTGGTCTAGAACTCTGGCGCTCTGGTACCACGCCAGCGCCACCGCTAACGGTGCATATGTGTGGGGGTGTTTGTTTGTTGGAGTTTTTGTTTTTGGGTCGGGGCAATATGGGTTGTCGGCACCATGCATGCATATTGCGTGATTCAGCTCTACGGCGCCTCCTCTCCGCGCCCGTCATGGTTTCGAATGATGAGGCGGTCTATTTCGCTATTTGAGACGGGGCTGTCGCTTAAAATGCCGCTCGCGTATCAAGGGGTAAACGAGGGCCGTCGGCCCATCCCACCACCGTGCTTGGGTTGTGGGTCGGAGCTTTCATGGATGCGTCTTCGGGACTCTTCGGACCGTTTTCGGGGGCTTCTAGTGAGCAGTTTAGGGGGCCTCGTGGGGGCCCCTCGGGGCCGAGGGCTCGAAATGGCCGCTCGGGCTCCCCATCTGGGACGCCTTTGGGGGCCGTCTTGGGGCCCTGTGGGGCCGTCTTGTGCACCTCTTGGGCCGTCGTGGGCGGCCTCTGGGGCCGTTTTGGGGCCCATTTGGAGGCCCCTGGGGCCGTGTTGGGGCGATTTTGGGGGCCTCGTGGGCCGTTTCGAAGCGACGGGAAGCCGAAAAGGCGAGGGCGCCAAATGATTGAAAACAACGCAAAACAACCATAAATAAGCAATGCTGTTGGCCTCTTCGGAGGCCTCTTGGGGCGTTTTGGAGGCTTCTTGGGCCGTCTGGGGGCCATCCCGAGCGTCTTGGAGCGATCGTTCGACTCGGGGCCCTGTAAGACCCTTTTGGAGCCTCCTTGGGCCCCCTTGGCCCGTTTAGGGGCCTTCCAGGCTTCGACACAGTCAAGCGACAAGACGCTCGAAGGGTGCTTAAAGACTTTGACAAAACACTTGGGGACACGCCCACCCCGTGCCCCGTACCCATCGGCACGGTGGTGGAATTTATTCACCGACGAGGAGTTGCCTTTCGGGTTGTTGAATAGGGCATTTGGGACGCCAGGGCTTATGTTCAGCCGTGTTGATGCATTTTGGGATTGTTTGGGTCATCCTCCCTTTTTTTCCCGCCTTGCCTCCATTATCCTCTTGTTCCTCTTGCTCCTCTTGCTCCTTTTGCTCCTCCTCCTCGTCCTCCTCCATATCCTCCTCCGCCTCCTCCTCCTCCTCCTCCGCCTCCTCCTCCTTTTCCTCTCTCTCTCTCTTTCTCCCTCTCTCTCCTCGAACTTCCTCGCTCTCCCTCATCCCCCATCAGTCCCTGCCTTCTCGCCTTCCTTGTTTCGGAACTGCGAGGTGGGTCTGAGCATGAGCATGCTTTCAGGGAGCCCGTCAGCGGAAAAGGTCGAGAGGTGGGGCGGCTTTCGATGTGGGGCAGTGAGAAGGAAAGGTTTCCCCAGAAGGCGGCGGGATTTCTCTGAAGCCTTCGCGCGTTCTGAGAAGTTGCTTGTTTTCTTAAGGGACGGACTCGAACACTTTGCAGAAAACTGGTCTGAAGAAGGCCCGCCGCCTGACAGTTCCCGCTGGGTTCGCCGCCAAAAGGTCCCTTCTCGCCGTCCTCCCTTCCCTGGTGAAATAACTCCACGTCCATCATCCTCGTCGTCTTCGTCCCTGCTAGTGTTGCGGCCGTTCTTCTCCGCTTCCTCCCTCCTGGCCCCCCTTTTGTTCCTCGCCCTCGCCCTCCTCCCTCGCTCCTCGGTGTGGTCTCTTTCCCTTCTTCCTCCTGCGGGCCCCTGCTCGTCCTTCCTCCATCGTCTCCATGCTCCTCAGCCCTCTTCCGTCCTCTCCCCCTCCTGTGCCCCCCTTCCTCCTCCTCTTCCTCCGCCGTTCGCCCCCTCCCTCTCGTGTCCCCCTCGCCCCCATCGGTGTTCCCCCACCCCATCCGCACCATTGTCGTGTCGCCCTCCGCCGCCAAGTTCTGCCCCATCCCCACCCGCCCGTTCCCCACTCGAGCTCGATCCCTCCATCCCTTCTTTCTTGTCCTCCTCGTCCTGGACACGCCCCGACTTCGGATGCGCCATGTTTCGTTTGGGCGAGACCGCCCCACGGGCGGGAGTGCCCGTCCTGCTGCTCACGCCCTCTGGGTGCCGATGTTCGCCCACTTTGCCGTCGTTGCTTCCAGCATGCCTCTGGGTACTCCAGATTTCGTAATAAAAGGGAGGGGGTCTGGACCCTCCAAGACAAGCCATTTCAGACCTCCCCCGTGGGAGAACCCCCCGAAACATCGTCCCCAGACCCCCCAGGCCCTCCAAGATAGCCTGGAAGTGACCCCCCCCCCGAAATGAGACCCCCCTCCCTTTATTACGAAATCTGGAGTAACCGTCATTACCTTCGCTATTCTTTTCAGGCAGAAACGTCCGCCCCGCTTTTTCGCACCGTCCGGGGCGCATCTCCGCCGACAGCTCCGGGTAAGACGCGCAGCCCAAGCACGGCAGATCCGAAGCCAGGGCGGCCCTGCCGCGTTCCAGTGCGCGCGCGAGGTCAGCGCCCCCGCCCCCCCCCCATTTCTCGCCCTCTCCCGCCCTGCCCCCCTCCTCCCCCCCTAATCGGACTCGATCTTCCCAGGCGTCCCTTCCTCCTCCTGCTCCTCCTCCTCCTCCTCCTCCTCCTCCTCCTCCTCCTCCTCCTCCTTCTCCTCCTCCTCCTCCTTTTCCTTTTCCTCCTCCTCCTCCTCCTCCTCCTCCTCCTCCTCCTCCTCCTCCTCCTCCCCCTGCTGTGCCCCACCCCCCCTTGTGCCCCCTGCCGCGCTCCGGTGCGCGCGTGGGGAGGCCAGCGCATGTGGTCGCCGTCCCGTCGGGGGCGGCCCAGAGGGGGTGATGAGTAACGAGGGATGGACTAGGGGGCCACATGCGAACCCAACCCCTACCCCCCACGATTTCTGAGGGGGAGGGTGGGGTTCACTTCGTCCGGGAGCTCCCGAGCGAAGTGAACCCCACCCTCCCCCTCAGACATCGTGGGTTGTAGGGGTAGGGTTCGCATGTGGCCCCCTATGGATGGATATCATTAGGAGGACGAGCAAGGACATAAGCATAAAAGCTCGGAGGTCCGCGCGGATTTCTCGGATCGGCGCTGGGGCCCCCTGGCGGCGCCTCCTGCGCCGCCCCTGGCGCGCTCCGCGCGCCAGGGAGAGGGGTCCAGCGCGGATCCAAGACATCCGCGCAGACGTCCTAGTTTTTATGTTTATGTCAGTTGTCGCTCCCCTAAGCTAGGGGTGGATGAATACCATGGCCGGGGCCAGTGCACCCCCCTGGAGTTCATGGCCCTCTTTTCTTCATGCAGTACGTCCCCTGGTCCCCCCCTCATCCGACGCCCCCCCCTCGTGGCCGGGCTGGACAAAAGGGTAATTAAGATAGGGAAGGGAGGACAGAACGAAATCCGCCGAGCCCAGTCCTCGATACATGGGTGCCTCCTGGCGCTTGGGGGCGCCGCGGAAGCCGGCTACTTGATCTGATTCCCTTCCCTCGGGGGTTGCTTAAAGGTGCCCTTGGCCCAAAGTGCCGCAGTTCCCCTATTCATTTTGGAGCTCCCCTGGGTCTTGTGAGGGTTGCAGCAGTCGAACAGAGGATCGACTACGAAATTCATTTACTCCAAAATCGGTTTTCCCCTGAAAATGCAAGAAACGCGAAGCATGTCCTTAGGTATAACGGGACAGCATGCGCATTTTTCGCAGATTCGGCGGGCAAATCAGTTTTGGGGCAAGTCCATTCTGTAGTCGATCCCCTGCTCGAAGCAACTCCCGACCCTCTGCTATCGGACCCAATCCTTCCCACCCACCAAACCACCCCAACCCCAACCCAACTCGAAGGCTCAGATTTACCCTCGATTTCCAGTGTGGGGGGGAGGGTTCGGGAAACATCGACAAAAAACACATGTAGAATTGGGGTGGTCTGGTAGGTCGTCACTTTCCTCCCCCCCCTCGTGGACGCCCCCCTCTTGGACGCCCTCGGGCGGGGCCGCGCGCCACCGCCGCCGCCACTGCGGAGCGCACCGGGGCCCGGCTGCGAGTCGCGGCGTGCGGGAGCGGCGGCCGGTCAGGCAAGGGGGTGAGGACAGGTCGATCCTCACCCCCTTGCCGTCCTCATCCTCTCCCTCTTCGTCCCCCCCCTGCCCCTCCTCATCCTCCTCCTCCTACTCCTCCTCCTCTTCGTCCTACTCCTACTCCTCCTCTTCGTCCTCCTCCTCCTCCACCACCTCCACCTCCTCCTCCTTCTCCGACTCCTTTTCTTCCTCCACCACGTCCTCCGTTTCCTCCTCTTTGTCTCAAGCCACTTGGGCCCAGGCCAGTTTGGCCAGGAACCCAAGCCTCGCCCCCGCCACGAGGGGGTTTGAGGGGCAAGTTGTATCCCACCGCAGCTCGGCCCTTGTCGGTAATCTGGTGTGCGATCGGCTTGGCAAAGTAAGGGGGCTTCTCGTGCATGGAGCCAGTGCGCAGGGCGTTCGACCTACGAGTGGAATGATGGTTTCGTGCCCCGATCGTATGTCCGTGCCAGATGTAATCCACCCACCAAGCTTTACAAACCCAAGGGGAATAATGTCACGTTCGATGATAGCGTCAAGCAGGCCGCCAACCAGCTCGCGCTCTCCACATTCGACAAGGGCAAGGGGAAGGGCAAAGGCACATGCGGTGGCAAATAATCGCGCGCTGATCTGGCGACAGAGGCGACGGGACGTCTGACCAGGCTCATCGGCTCCATTAAAGACATGTCGTTCAAGGTGCAGTTGTTGGCCCATCACGAGAACGTCGACAAGCTTTGGCCCGCGGCTCGGCAGCAGACGCCCGAAGACGTGTTGCGACGAGCATCGGGCGAATGGAATAATTCGAACATGGTGCATGAGCAAGCAGTGCTTCAGCTTTAGAAATTCAGACAGGCCTTGCAGAAAACCGAGGAGAAGGAGTTTCAGATGGCGAAGGGGTTGGCATCGGCCAGGCTCAGCGGAAAGGTGGCGGTGCGAGTTCTTACAGAGGCAGCAGGTGTGGCAGCTGACGGCAAGGCTGCGGAGACGGACAAGAGATCAACCTCTCTGTGGACGTTGAGTCGGGACGAGGAGCTGTTTGCCAATATCGACGGTTACGGCTGCGAGCAGCACGAAAAGGAGGAGTTGCAGAAGTCGGGAACGGAACGCCGATTCGCTCGCGACATGTCGGGGAGTGGAAAGCAGAAGTCGTTGCGCGCGCATGAGGAGACCACGGCAAGGACGACCAGGCAACGCAAAGTTTTGCAAGGATAAGTCAAGCCAGGAGGTGCTAGTAGAAGGGGAACTTCGGCGAAGACGGCGGCGACAGCAGCGAGCGCGCGGCTGGGGCGCCCTCTTCCGATCACCTCGGCGCCCCGCAGGGGGCCTGGGCAGTCGCGGGGGCGCCCCCGAGCGGATGAGCAGAGCGGCGAGGGCAGCTGCAGCGCGTCATCGAGATCGACAGCTGGCACCTGCCGCAGAAGGTAGCAGCGGGGCCTGGAACAGTGCCAGCGAGAGTTCCCCTTGGGAGAGAAGCCGTGTTCCAGGTATGTCTTCCGGGTGTTGTCTGGGATTGCGACGTGCCTGGGAGCGTTGGCCTCGGCATCTTCGGCGGTTGCGTCGAGGTGTAATTTTGCAGAAAGTCGCGTTTCAGCTCGTAGCGAGTCATTGGGCCACGCAGGTCAATATAGCACATTTGCGGCATGTTGAAGATTCTGCTCGGCCCCGAGCATGCGCGTCTAACTCTCGCTCCAATGGGGGCGAAGAGGTCGCCGTGGCGCAAGGCCATTTGCATGTGCATCGCACTGGGGGGCCCAGCGAGTCCTCTGCGTTGCGCCCGGCGTCGGGGGTCGCCTTCGATGGTTTTTGACCAGTTAAAATCCACTTCCGCGGGCATCCGCTCGCACTGGCAATGCCTTGCGGAGTCGCGTCTGTAGGTTCTGCGGAAGAGAAGGCCCAAATGATGGCCAGGCTCGGATCCTTCTTTGCTCGCGCGTCGGCGCTGTCCAACACTGGCAGCGCAAGGGTGGCGCGCGCGAAGTCGTTTCCAAACAGCAAAGGGGTCGCTTCGACTGCGCGGGCAACGCTGCCGCGCGCGGGGGCGTCCGCAGGCCGCGCGTTTCTTTCCCGTTGGCGACCCGGGCGGCGCCGACGACCGCGTCGATGGCGACTTCCGCGGCAACCTTGCCGCGGGCATGCCCGCGCGGCGGCGCCGGGGTTTGTCGGCTCCGGCAGCGCGCGTAGATCGCCGAGCGGCCAGCGCGCAAACAGCGTGGCCCGCCAAGTTCGACGCTGCGCATGATACTCCACCTACTTCACCTCGCTCGATTGACTACGGCGTCGGCGTCCTAGAGGTTTGCGGCGGGGGGGCGCGGGCCAGATGACTAGCTGCCCACGGCCGCGTCAGAGTTGGCGAGAATTTCGACTTAGCCGCCGGCTGCGACCTCGGCGACGAGAGCCAGCAGCGAGCCACAAGGATAAACACGCGACAGAATCAGGCCCTTGTGGCCATCATGGCTCCAACCTGCAGGCCCTTCTGTCATTGGGCGACGTTCAGCTGCGAGCAAAACTGCCGCGCCTGGCTGCGATGCCGCGTGGGCGCGGCCCCGCGCGGTCGATTTTGCGGCTGCCTTGCGCAGCTGCAGCTCGATCTAGGCGGCGTTCTCGTCGACGAGCAGCCCGACCCATAGCGGCCGTGCGACGAGCCGCCGTGGTCAGAGATTACGGCGGCGCCTGGCGTGGACGCGGCCGTCTTCGACCAGCGCGCGTTTGGGGGCCGAGGTCGTCGCGGAGGAATCTCAAGTCCGCCAGCCACTAGTGCCCGGCCCGGGCAAGCGCGCCCGCTCCTGCGCCGAGTGCCGCGATAGTTTCGACGCCCGAAAGACTCTTCCAACGCGCAGTGGACCTGCGTCGCCGGCTGAGACACTCGCACCTCGTTAATTACGCTCCCGCATGCGACGTCCAAACGGCATCTTTCCCAACAGTGGCCCCTGGAGCCACTATGGCGCCGAGGGCGAGATCCGGGGCGAACTGGCCGCCGAGCGCGCGGCGTGCGCGAGCAAGTCGCGCACGCGCGACGTGCGGGCGGGCGCGCGCATGCGCCCCCTGGGGTCTGGCAACGCGCCGCCGCATTGCGCTCCCGAGCACCAGGGGCGCCCCCGCTGCCGGGGGGGGGGGAGTGCGCGATCACGCCGCGCGCGCCTGCGAGTGCAGCAGGTGCAGTTTCGCGCACTTACTCGCGGCCGCGTCTGCGCGCCGGCCAACGCCCGCGAGCGCCAGCACAACCTGGACCGCGCAACTCCAGCGACCAGCAGGCTCAATTACCCAGCAACGCCGACCGCGTCGCGGCAGTCAAGGCTGGTCAGCCACCGGCGCCCGCAGGTGCACCAGGGGCCAGCTTGTCATTCAGCATTGGGGTCATGGCAGCGGCGCGAGTGACTCTGTTCCTCGACCACAGTTCCGAGCCAAGCAGTTGCTGGCGCAATGCCAAGACGGGCAGCGCTGCGAGCTGCCAACGCAGCCGCTGGCAGCCCTAAGCTCTCCGATTGGACTCGCTTCGACGTTTTCGTCGTTGCGAGCGCCGCGCGATGGGCCGCGCGAAGCAAGCGCGCGATCGCCGCGCAAGCGGCACCTCTGGTGGCGGCGCGCCACTGTGGATAATGGCATGAGCCCTTCGAGCAGCTAGTGTACCACATATGATCCTCGGCCCCATCCCCACATCATTCAAACAAGTGAGGGTTTGCCGGATTGGGGCAACCATCAGCACATCAAGCCACCCCCACACTCCGCTTTCCGACCGGTTCACCCAGCATGTCGAGTGCGATCGTTTGTGTTACAAAGATTGCATGACCTCGAACTGGATCAGCTGCACCTTGTGATGGCGCAGAGGCCAGGATAGCACATCACGACTCGTCGCTCGTTGCCATCGATCGTTCGTGGGTCCAGCTATTCGGCGCGATGGGGGCGTTCGTCGCAGATGGCGATGGCGGCGTGCCCTCGACGTACGTCACGGAGGAGATGAAGAGGCAGGCACTGAGTTCACGTTGATCATAGAGCTTCGCATCAACGAGCTCGTTTCATGTAACGTAGTGGCGCCATGCTACGACCGGCGCATCACGCCGCGGAAGGGCTGCTAGAGCGCGAGGGTATCGCGGCGGTTTTTGAGGGCAGCGGCCCCACCCACGTAGGCGGCGTTACACCACGTAACGTCGTCTTCGGAAGGCAGCCCGCCATGCCACCGCCCGTCGAAGCGGGCGAAAGGCGAGGCGCCCGATGCCTGCGGCACTGGTGCCGACCCTGCTGCTGGCGCGGAAGTTCAGCCAAGCCGATTGCAGTGGCGAGCCCGAGAGATCGCATTGCAATGCGCGATCGAGACCATGCCCATCTCACGCGTCAGGCTTTCCCTGAGGGCGCGCGACACCGACTCTGGAGATGGCCGCTTCAACGGGCCAGGTGGGGATCCACAGCCCCCCGGGCACGCAGGGCGCATCGGGCAGGGCGGGTCTTGGGGCGGTTTTGTCCGCGAGCCCTGCTCGAGGCGAGGTGGCGGCTCGCTGCCGCTAGGCCGACGCGGCCTGCAGACTGCCAGACGCCCGGCCCGTCATCGGCGCCGTGGTCGACGACGCGGGCACCAGCTTGGCGCGAACAGTTCTGACTTGGGACCGCGCGGAGGACATCCTGAAGCACGTCGTGCAAAGGTATGGGGCAGGACTTTCGGCCGTTGGGAGGGCGCTATGGGCGCGCAGATCACCGCGCAGACGTGGCGACGCCCCGACAGCCTCGAAGCTCTGTGCCAGTTGTCCCGCAGATGCGATCAGCTGCCAGGTGCGGGGGCCATGTGTCTGATGCGCGGCTGGCAATCTGCGGGCGATCGGCCGGGCTGCGCGCGCATCCCGCTTATCCGGTGGGCCCTGCGGAACTCGGAACGATATTCAACATATTCTTCGACGGCGTTAGTTTCAACAGCCATCAGCTCTCTGGCGAACTGCGGAAGGAAGCAAGGTTCATCTTGGGTGGCGATCTCTGGCCGGCAGCAGACGCCAGGCTGAACCCAGATTGATCGTTCGAAGATTGCGTCATGGACCATTCCGAGGACACTGGCAGTATCGCTGAGGGGTGATCTCAATCAGCCCAGTCGGCTACGCCCGAGGAGACCGACAGTGTCTTCTCCGGCCGCGTCCAGCAAGAGACGCTGACCGCCTGGCGCGAGGTCAACGGGGCAGAAGATCTGACCCAGAAGTTGGAGGAGCTGTGGAGCACCGACAGTCAGCGTGGAATCTTTGCCGCCGTCGAGCACGCCGTGGGCGGTCTTGGCCGATGGCCCCGCGAGTGGCCCCAGCACCTCGACACGCAGCACGGGCGTCAGAGCATCCACGCGCAGCGACGCCACTGCCTGCGCGGCGCCTCCCGGGACGACTACGCGACGCTAGAGGAGGAGAACGGGCGGGGGATGCATGCGGAGGTGCACCTCGACCCATGGGGTGCGCGAAGCACTCCCGAGTTTCAATGTGGAAGCCTCCGGCGACTGTGCTGCTAGCCCCCCTCAGACAGCCGCGCTCGTCATCTACGCCGCCGTCGAGGCCATCGAGCGCGACGTCGACCTTGTGACCGCCGAAGAGGTGTCGATGCTGTCAAGGGAGGTCGCAGCGGCTTGCCTTTGAGCTCACCAGCGGGGTCAAATGCAAATGTCTCGAGAGGCGACCGCTCAAGAGTGCCCGAAACGCCGTGGACGCCAGACGCGTCTGCAAGTGGAAGCACCGCAAGGGGCCAGACGGCAAGACCGCCGGGATCATCCGGCGCTGCGCGGCGCTGAGAGGCTTCCGCGACATGGGCGCCATAGTCCTAGAGTCGTTTGTTGGGGCAGCTGAGCGGGCGCAATATCTCATGCTGTTCTCGGAGGTGGCGCGTCGCTCAGACGGGGCGCACGTCGCTGCAGGCTTCGAGGAGGCGCGCCTGCGGGGCATGACCTACGCCGAGACGCAGGACAAGGCGAAGCACCGCGCGAGGCGCGCTTGGCCCTGCCGGCCGGCAGCGCAGCCGCTCTACGACAGCCCCCCGGCTACAAGAGCCATCGCGATCGCGCATAGTGCCTGCGCTACATCAAGCCAGGCACTGGCTGCAAGGACGAGTTCAGAGTCTTCTCAACGACGCTCGCCCGGCTCGCGCGCT